TTAATCATTTTATTCTTCGATTTTTTCCCTTATAGTCTGTGTTGATTATCTTGGATTTCAATAATAATCAATTTTTTATTAATGATTTTTATCGTTGAAAATATTAGAATGACTGTTATTTTTGGTCCCTGGTTGTAACTTCTTAATAAAACATTTAAGAGCATATGTTCATACAATATTTTTTTCTTACTTTTGCGTGTAGAACATCCTGGCAAACTTTGACCGGAAAAAACTTGGAGTTCCTGTATAAAATAAAATAAAAAATTATATTACTTTCGATTATGGTCGAGTAAAATCAACTTCCAAATATTTGAATATGCACCAATGTATTGTATATCGCGAAAGTACCAAAGAAGTATTTTTTTAACAACGAGTTTATTAAAGAGCTCTTTCTTGATATAATGTGGAGAATATACGATGCTGATACACTTACGCAAAATATTAGTATCGTCAGTTGCGCCGTCCTTGTCTAGCTGGTACCGTTGCGATCCAGTATTACACGAATTGTTGCGAAGATTACCACGATTTACTCGCAGCATGAGATTTACGTCTCTGATTAGGTTATTTATCAAGCAAATGCTGTTACCATAATGCTGTGGCTTTCGTCCTCTCTGCCCACTTATAGACTTAATTTACGTCTTATTAGTGCAATGTATGATATATTTAACAGGCATGTTCTGGATTTGAACACATAAGTTACCTTAATCTCGTGTACGCTCTTGAAGAGGACCAGGATATGAACTTAATATTCACTTTATTTATCGGGCTATTTAGGAACAGTCTTTAATTAAGAAAAGAATCTTCTACAGTAACATAGACCAATCTAGGCTGGCAATAATTCCTCCATACTGTTACTAGGTACATTGAAAGCCAAGTCTGTTTCCAAAAACTAAACATTGTAAGTAGACAACCATCAACACAGTAAATAAATTCGAAAAGTTAAATACTGCAATTAAAAAGCCGAAAAATAGCCTCCCGGTAAATAAAGTGTTAAAAGTCAAAGTCACTGTATCATACTGTATGAATAAAACTATCTCTACGTTGTACAGAGTGCCCCATGTAACACTTTTCACGATTTTTCAAGTACTTGCAATAATCAGACAAGAAAGTATTTTAAATAAAAGTTAATCTGTTTCAATCGGCTATAAATTGCAATAAAAAGAAATATGTAAAAATTGTTAAGGTCAATAATTGTCAAGGTCATTTTCATTTTTTAAAATGGCACTTTGCATTTGGCTCTTGACTTAACAGTATTATAGCCGGAACCAAGGCTGATTTATTTACTTAAATAATTTATTTTTGAAAAAATCTTTTTTTGTTAATTTATGTTACTAAATATTATTTCTCATTTATGAAAATTTATATGTGCAAACTACAAGTTAAAATTAAGGATACATATTTTTAGAAATTTTGATTTTCACCATATAACAATAATTATATAAAATGGGAAATTCCTTCTTCCGCGCCAAAAATGTGGCTTCTTTATCATTTCTTTTTTTTATAAGGTATGCAAGATTTTAATTTGAAATTTTACACACATCTCTAGTATTATTTCAGTATGATGTACAAATCTTTATGGACAGATTTATCGAAAAATATAAATGTTACAGCTCGTTGACCGTGACGTTGCAATAAAAACATTTTCTAGGAACCTGTCTACCGAATTATAGAAGAGTTACCTGTATTTGAAATGACAGATGAAAAATGTATTTCTACATGTGGTAGACTCTGTCGATCAGGTTATTAATAGAAAGTGATGTTTCCCGTTTACTTGGAAAGTTGGAAAAGTTATCCCCATTTTTTTTGTTTAAGTCAATGTTTTCTAATGTTCTTAATATTAGAAAACATTGCGGTGAATTTGTTCCGCAACTTTCTCCATAAGTCAAATTGTAGAAGTACACAAGTTGGATAGAAATCTATTTATTATATAAAATTAAATTTTTAATTTCCGAATGAAATATAAAATAGTTGAAAAGGACAATTCTGGGAGATTAACAAAATGATCGAAATTTGTATTTTCAACGATTTTGAAGATAAAAATTGTTTCGTGAAAATCGGCAAAAATTTCAAACTTTGAACGTATGTACTTTTTTAACAATCTCGAAAATACCAAAATAATAATTGAAGCATAAGTAATGTAGCCGACATTTAATTAGCATTCTTAACGAAATAGCATTAATGTTTAAATTAGCGCATCTTTCAAAACGGAAAGTAAGTTAACTATACTATAAATTGTATTTTTCTATCTATTATTGACATTATAATCAATCCTTTTCTTAAACTTAAGAATATGTTAAAAGTATAAATATAACATTTAACAAATGTTAGTAACATTCAAATGAGGTTTCTATATAAAATGACAAGATAAGGAGAACGATCTGTGGAAGGAGATTTAAAATATTTGAAATGAAATTGGTCAAGCCGTTTCGACGTAATCGGTGAACAAACATAAAAAAAGAAAAAATATACATGTCAAATTTAGTAACCTCTTCCTTTTCGAAGTTGGTCAAAAATGCTTTTATTTTTCAACAGGACAATACTCTTAAACATAAAGCTAAAGTTGCGATGAAATATTTCAAAGAAAATAATATTCACTTAGTACAGCGGCTTTTTCAGACTCCGGAGTTAAACCCAATACAACATTTGTGGGAAAATTTTAAAAGAAATGTGCCAAGAAACTAAAGAAAAATATATTTCATTTCTATTTCTATTTCTATTTCTATTTCTATTTTATATATATTTCTATTTATATTTCATTTATATTTTTATATTTCAAATATATTTTATTTTTATAAAAATATATAAACGCAGTAAATATATAACGCAGTAAAATCCGATTGGAACAATATTAACAGTGATGTTATTACAAAATTAATTTGTAGCATGCGAAATTACCTTAAAACTATTATAGAAACGAAGGGATACCATACCCGCTATTATTTAAATTAATATATGCAATATTTGTTATATATTTAAAAGCGTTAACTTACCTTTCAAAAATTACTTTTCAGTGCTATCGTGATGAACGGACTATATATATTCTTTATTCTTTTTGTTTATTCGTTAAGGCAGCATCAAATTATTGTCTGTTTGCATTTATATGATACATGTAAATAAAAAAATAACTAAAATATTTATCGTTATTATCTGTCATATAAGTGTTTTGTTAAGGTGTTATTTATAACGTTAATCGTGACTTATTTTCTGAGGCTACTGTATATTAATTTCAATAGAATCCGTGACCTTGATCGATTTAACGTGGAATACTCCCTGACAAAACTTACAGATCCTCAATTATAAATTGAACGACAGTGGCTGAAAACCAACTTATTAGAATACAGGAAAGGCAAAACCAATTTATTATTAACGCAAAACTAATCTGATAGCTCAGCGACCAATGTAATCAAACGTTAACACAATCCCGTAGCTCAGCGAATAGTGTAATCAAACACAAAGCCTGTCCCCTAGATGAGCGACCAGAGATGGGTAATATTTTTAGAGAAAATATTTTAAATACTATTTGAAATAATAGATTCTTCAGAATTCAAATAAAATAGTATTTCAAATAGAATATAAAAGCAACAAATAAAATATTTTATTTTAATAATGTAAAACGTAAAATAAAATAATTGATATTGGTAATCTATAGTTAAGGGGGTATCCTGAATTAGGAGGTATAAAAATAAGCGGTTCTTCGTGAATTTTTTTAGGATGGGAAAAAATTATTAATTCTATCGAACTTTTTATCCTATTTTCATACATATTCGAGTAGTCTGTACATATTTCTTCTCTGTAAACTAAAAAAATTCGTACAAAAAAATTTTAAACAACTTTTTTTATCAAGTTAAAGTGATTTTTTTCACTTAAACAACTCGTTCTTTTTTTCAAACTTGCAGTAATTTCACATTTCACCATTTTTGCGGGATTTTCTTAGTTCATATAGAAGAAAAATGTATGAAAATGAAAATTTCTTTTGTTTTTTTTGTGTCAAACGAAAATTACGACCTGCATCTTTCCCGCCAATAGGAAGTTTTAATTGTGAGGTGCTCTGCAAATGTGCATCACAGTCGACTCAATTTGAATATTTCTTATTGAAAAAATGTGTACAGACTACTCAAATATGTATGAAAATAGGATAAAAAGTTCGATAGAATTAATTATTTTTTCCCATCCTAAAAAAATTCACGAAAAACCGCTTTTTTTAGACCTTTTAATTCAGGATACCCCCTTAAGGCATGAAAATAAATATTTTATTTTGATAATCTAACATATAAAATAAAATATGTTTCATTTTAATAACATAAAGCATAAAATTGAATGCTTTCCATAGTTCTTAACCTGAAAATAAACCGTGTAAATATGATACACAGATGGAGTAACTATTTCTTGCGATTGAAGAATATCTTTTTCCGTCACTCATTTTATGAAAATTCTTATTGAAGATTCTTAATAGAAGTATTCATTAAAGAACTACATTGAATGTATGTTTATAATCCAGAGGAAAAGTACTTCGTTCGTTTTAGATTACCAAAATAAATATATTTTACACTATAATTTAGTAAAATAAAAATATTTTATTTTCTGATAATAAAATAAATAAATAAAATATTCCGAACTATGGCACAAATATTTTCAGTGTTTTTCAAATAGAATATTATTTGAAATATTATATTAAACATTTCTTATAACAAATAAAATATTTTATTTTTAAAAATACTTGCATGATCCGAAATAAAATACTTTATTTTTAAAAATACATGCATGATCCAAAATGAAATATTTATTTACTGTTTATTATTTAAAATACGTATTTTGCACAGCTCTGTGAGCGACTAATGTAATCAAACGCAAAATGTATCCATACTCACTTCCGTTTGATTACATTTAAAAGTGAAAAACAAAACCAGAATGGTTTTCAATCATAAAACATGGTTTGCCCGTACTTGGTTCAGCGGACTATACTACACGAAAAGAACTACAAGTATTTTCGTGCATTTCAGGTGACGATTCTATGTTCGCCAACGACGAGGATGACGAAGTTAGGGGACGCATGTAACAGAGACGAGGACTGCGATGCGAGCATCGTTGGTGGTCAATGTCGTCTCGGCTATTGCAGCTGCCCGCCATACTTTGCCAAGTATAATTCGACGCGCTGCGTCGAGGGTAAGAATTCGTTTCGATCATTTCACGCAGAGATGGGCAAAATTCTCATTTAGATAAAAAATGTCTAATAAGAGATTAACAAAACTTTCTCGATTCTTTCATCGGTTACATGATATACAGTACTCCACCAAAGTACTTAGACCACCATGCAAAGCTTACATTACACTTGAATAAATATATGTTAGTGGAATAAATATTGGGTTGTCCAGAAAGTTCGTACCAATTTTTAAGAAAAATTCAAAGGCACATTTGAATTTTGATACATATTTATTGAATTATATGAATATCATTTTGTTCCACGACCTTTCCACCTCCCATGTTAATTGTTTTCAACCATTCCAATATAAACAGACGTATACCACCTACCAAAAATCTAATATGATGCATTAGGTATAAAAATCAATTCTGTCTCTTCATATTCAATCATTTATAATTAACGATCAAACGAATTGACCTGTACGTGAAGTTCGATCGTAATTATGTGAAATCCTCGTTCGAGATGATTACATGTAGTAGTCTTCTAGACTCGATATTTCACAACGTTTAAATGTTTTGAATTTCCCGCGCGTCACGATATTTTCTACTAAATTTGTGTATCGAAATACAGAAATATGCATCTTCAATGTCCAACGAGCCCATCAAATAATTTTCCACTATTAATTTTGTCGCTGTTCTCAAATCTTCCATTTTAAAATGGTATTTTTGTATAAATTCATAAACTTTTTCAAGTTTAGTATGAATCTATAACTTCCATTTGGTTTCTGAACCAAAACATATGAAGATAAAAATTGTCCCCTACAGGGTTCACATTTTTCAATAGATTTTTTAGCAATCAGTTCTTTAACGGCCAGTCTTAATTCTAATTTATTTTTACTGGATACTTTTGGTTGAGGAGAAATTTTTTGTTGGATGAGAAGACTTACAAAGGGTATCTTATATCCTCTTATATAACTTAAAATCATTGTATTTTGTGTTATTTTTGACCAATTCCTGTAAAAAAACCTCAATCTCTCTGCTACAGTCTTTACCTCTATTTCCTGTAGGTCTGATGATGCTGTATGTTCTGAGTGTGATATAATTTGAAACACGGATATATGTATACATAATCCTATATCGCATTTCTTCCATCGATAATTGTCTCACTTTTTTTGTTATGTTTTTGCGTTTTGCGTTTCTTCGAAATGCTATATTTTTTATTTTGAGCGCCTATAGACGCTCTCCGTTTCAGAAAGCCAAACTGCGTCGAGCGCCTATAGATGCTCTCAATCTCCAAGTGGTAAACCAACAAATTTTGCTTATTGTTATTTTTCTTTTAACAAATTACAAAGATACTCGATAATTAGAATAATAGTAAGAGTATAATAATAAGCAGGGCTACTAAAGTTTGCATAGATGCATTGCAATGGCCATCAGGCTGACATTGAATTGAGTTATGTGTGTTGATACGTTGCAATAGAGATCAGGTTGAGGACTTAGGAGATCGGTACTTTAATGCAGCATAATAACGAGTCCGTATATCTGTTTAAACGAGAGGTATAAGTGATTGAATATAAAGTCACAGAATTAATTTCTACACCTAATATATTTATTATTTATATATTTATTAATTTTTACACCTAATATATGAATTATATATATGTAATTATTATATGTTACATTATATATCCTTATGTAAGGATTATTTATTCTAATATACTACATATACATATAATGGAATTGTAAAAAATGATTTAAAAGATTTAAAGGAGAATGAAACATTAAAAGTTGAGGACTTAAAAGATCGGTACGTTAATGCAGCAACATAAAGAGTCCGTATATCTGTTTAAACGAGCGGTATAAGTGATTAAATATAAAGTCAGAGAATTAATTTCTACACCTAATATATTAATTATATATATGTAATTATTATATGATACATTATATATCCTTATGTAAGGAAACATGGTATACTTATTCTAATATACTACATACACATATAATGGATTTGTAAAAAATGATTTAAAAGATTTAAAGGAGAACGAAACATTAAAAGTAATGAATTGATCATTTAAAAGTCTTCACGTAAATATTATTGAACATGTTGGCTAATACAGTTATAATTTTTTTTAAAAAAAGGTGGTACAATATTTTGAACAGTAAAACCGATAATTTACCACACTTTTAAAAATTCCTCGAGCTACGTTTAAATATCACTAAAGACTACCACATCCAAATTTCGACGAAATCCGAGATATTACTTCAAAACGTGTTCGATTTCACGTGGATGAAGTCTGAATTGGGATCGGTAAAAAATTACGTTACATTCTAATCGTAGTTTCTATTCTTTATTTATTATTTAAATAAAATTCTGGTCATCTCTAATATAATGTAAATTCACGATGACGCAGCGAAAAATAGCAAGTTTTCATCTGTTTTTCTATAAAACAGCTACGTTGCTAGGCCAAGAGTGTTTCGTCGAGGAGCAATGCTCATTGAAAGTAGCCAACAGCGGATGTTTCGACGGTTTCTGCGGGTGCAAAGACGGATTTCTTCAGTTTCGTCGGCATACGTGCCTAGGGCGTAAGTATAATAATCTTCAAATAATTAAAACATTTTTCTATCGAATAAGTGAAATGCAATTATCTGGATTACTCTTTATGGCTGTTTCGAGTATATTAAACATCGTTTAAAATCGTATTATATATTACATATTACATATTACATATTATATATTATATATTATATATTATATATTATATATTATATATT